TAGGAACTTTACAGCCTAACAGTGACCACCAGCTTAACAGAACAGGCACATTAACCTCACACACATGGGGTTGGGCTCAGAGGATACTGCTTGTTTGTTAACCCTCTTGAAATCCAATTGCACTTGTTATTTCTTTGACTAACAACAGGTAGTTGGTTTTCTCGTAAAAGATGTTACCATTCCTGAATTAATAAACAACTAAAGCAAAATGCCAGGCACGTTATAATTACCAGTGATAACCAGAAGGAGAGTCATAAAGGTTTCTGCACAGTCTGGGACTTTCATTTCGTCTACATCAGTGATGTCTTTGTACTGTGATATCCAAGCTGCTTCGGACGAAAGCATGGAGTCCATCTTCTGAAGAGCAACTGCCAGGTACACACAATAATGAAACTAAACGCTGAAATACTTTTCATTTGTCTTGGTATTCAAAATATGCAAATGTGGTTTTCAAAAGTAAAGTTAAAAAAGAACACATTGTAAAAAAAAAATCACACCAAATATAGCAGACTAAGATATGATTCAGCTAAAAATTAGGTTGAAGTCTTGCTAATGACCATAAATACAAATATGAAATAGCCTATCTGTCAACAGCTCCCTGGAATCAAAGTACTTTTCTTATACTAAGTGATAAAATCCCCCCCAACAAATGCTACTATAAAGCTTGCTATAATCATCCTTATATACATGTTAGCTATGATTAAAATTCTTAATACAGGTAGTCCTCACTTACTGACCGCAATTGGGACCAGCAATTCTGTCACTAAGTGATATGGCTGTAAAGTGAAACATCATGTGACCACGCTGGACTTATGTTAGTTCTGCTGTGGTTGTTAAGCAAATTGTTGTGGGTCACTGAACGAGACCTCATGTGACTGCGACTTGCAACTTCCTGCCAGCTTCCCCACTGACTTTGCTTGTCAGAAGCCAGCTGTGAAGGTCGCAAATGGCAATCATGTAATGTGCCTGAACCGCGATCGTGTGACTGTGGGGACACTGCAATGGCTGCAAGTTCGAGGACCAGTTGTAAACCTAGTTTTTCAGCACCATCGTAACTTCGAACAGTCGCTGAACGAGGCAGTCAGTAAGTGAGGATTATCTGTACCCCTGTGTACCAAATATTTGCTGCTGCAGTTTCCCCACAGATTTTATTATTCCAATTTCATTCTTTAGTACAATCTAGTTCTTTCAGTATCCTCACTTTGAAAAATAGGTGCCCATGATAAGCTCAATGAAGGAGGAAACATGCAATCGTTCATTCTGCAACAGGTTCCTTTTTCTATTTCTCTGGGTCCTCTGGAGACATAGGGGACAGGAGAAGCAGCTCACAGAACATTATCAAGCCTGAGCTATGAATAAAGAGGTAGCACATACAGATTGATTACAAGCTGAATGTTCTTGCAATTATTCCCTTTTTCAAGGGGAATTTAGCTTGCAATAGACAAGTTTCACCACCCTCAGATTCAGCAGCGCAAGTGCTTTCTAAACACAGCACTCTGCCAGAGTTAGCTTCAATAGCTACAGATCCATCAGACTCAGCCACAATCAATGGATTTTAACTCTAACTCTAATGGAGTGGGATAGTCAAAACATGCACCGAAGAACCTGAGTTTTCTGAGCTATAATCCACACCTAGAAGCCACCAATTAGATGTCCTGATAAGAAGGAAGTTGAATCCTTCAGGAGACATTAGGATTTTTCTTATGTGTATCTATATACCTCTCATTCACAAATGCAATAAGCAGCAAAATAAGGGGCCTATGAGGAAATGGAGTACCAGCTTTTTAATCCCAAATGCAAACACTATGGAGCATAACTTTACATTATTTGATCCCACCACCTGTTTATACTCAAGGTAGCTATTGCCCAAGAAAAAAAGGTTGGGACTGTTTTAATTCAAGTAAATGACTCCATAGCATCTTACATTTTCTTTCTACAGTTAACCACCTCTGAAAGTAGGTTTCTTCTGATAAAATGTGCATACAGCTGGGGAAACTGCTGAGATATCCATGAACACTGTGCAGCTCTCTTTCAAAGAGAAGTATCTCGTCCACCAGATGACAGAAGAGGTTGTCATCATACAACAAGCAAGGAATATCGGCATCCAGCTTCTCCAGGATTAGCATCACCAAAGCGCGGGAAAACTCCAACTTAAGAGGCAAAGAGATCAATTAAAACCTACAAATAAAAGTATGCTACACTTAATAGCATAATGGCTGTCAATCCATAAGAAAAGGAGAGATGTTTACCCTTGCGTTCACAGGAGTGCCTGCTTTATCCAGTATGGGTTGAACTTTGTCTTCAAGAAACGACACGTGATTTCCAATCCACATGAGTACTTGGGTAAGATACCACTCAGGCTTTCGAAGGAAAAAGTCATACAAAATCAGAGAAAAACAAGCCGTGCACTGCTCGGTCAAAGATAAAATTCTATCAGCGACATCATACCCTACCTGACCAAGTATCATACACAAATTGTTTGGCCCAGGATCCTTTAGCGATCTTCCATATTAAATCTCAAAATCATGTCTCCATCAAAGAAAAAAAAAGCAAAAACCACAAAGCACTTGGATGACAAGCTTCAATTGTTAATGCACAACAGCAACCAGGTAGTCTAGTACTTTTGAAAAGATTTAAGTTGGTAAATAACATTTGAGTTTAGTAACACTTCCAAAGATGTGAAGAGTGTGTGTGTCATCCCAGAGCCCCTATACTTCTTGACCAGCGCATAGCTTATATTTGCACCTGACGATACAGGTAGTCCTCACTTAGTGAACACAATTGGGACTGACAATTCTGTCACTAAGCGCCATGGTGGCTAAATGGAAAATCACATGACGATGGGCTTACGACCTCACTTCCCATTCGGTCATTAAGCAAAACATCATGTGATTGCGACTTACAATTTTAATTCCACTTTTTCTATTTAACTCTGCTTGTCGTAAGCCAGTTGCAAAGCACACAAATGGCAATCACGTGACTGCAGGATGCTGCAACAGTCGTAATGTGAGGATTGGTTGCAAAGGTTTTTTTACACCATCGTAACTTTGGACTGTCGCTAAATGAGGCAGTCAGTAAGTGAGGACTGCCTGTAAGCCAGAATCCTAAAGATGTGGCCTTATCAGGAATGGGCAAGTCTGTTTGCTTACACCATATGATGGCTTCAGCTGCCAGCAAAAATAGCTAAAGAAACCTAGATTGTTCTATCTCTAGTCACAAGATCCCTGGCTTCTTCCTGTCTGAACAAGCAGGAGTCTAAGCCAGAATTTGTTCTAAGCTAACAACTCTTATTAAGAAGTAAACAAGCCAGAGATCCTGTTTAAACAGAATACTAAACAGACAGATATCTGTCCAGATTTGGTAGGTCTCTATAGCTGGCAGCAGCTGTGTCTGAGGGGTGGTGGGTCAAGACAGTGGTCACAACCAAGATGAAAAGGGGTGGGGCTTTGATCGCATGGTTGTGACTGTCATCCTTACTTTTTTAACCCCCTCCCTGCACACTCTTGGCTAGCAGGAAGAACCAGCAGGAAACAAGTGAGCATGAAGCACTGCATACTCGTGATACTGGCAACACAGCAGCAAGTTCGCTTCTTACTGAATATTAGAGAGATACTGATTGCATATTTTCCAATTCAGCTCTGTAAACTCAGGCTACTTTTAAGAGAAAACTGAACATTTGGGTTCATTCCTCCTAGGCTGCAATCTTTATTAAGTATTATTTAAAAAAATAACTCCTAAGAAGAGGAGTTTGTACATCAACACCATACCTTGCTCAGGACATTGGTTTGCCTATTCCCAGTGAAATGGTATTTGAATCTTTTCTGAAGGGGAGCCAGCATGATCTGCATAGGTAATATAATAGGTGGAGTTGGAGGAAGAAGGTACTTTTCTGGAAGCTGCTTTGGTTTGGTTAATAGTTCATCTCTGAGATTTTTTATGCGTTAAAGTTCAATATGGTAGGGATACATACAAGGGCTTACAGACGAAGGATGGAAAAGTCCATGAAATGAGCAAGATGCATTTCATTTCACATAAGGAATGAAAAACCCTCTTCCCACATCACATATTGCAGTAAAACAAAAATTAAACACTATTTTTATTTGTCTGAGCAATCAGCCAGCTCAATCCTGATGCATCACTTTTGTTGACATGATGTGAGACATTACCAATATAAGAGCACAATATGTTTATAATCTGTTTGGAATGAACATTTGCTTCATCATATAATTAAATGAAAGGTGTGTTTTTAACCTATACAGCCACTTACAACAACTTGGATTAATAATCTAAGGACACAAACAGAAATTTTGGGTTCCCCTGACACGAAGGAAATGGTCAAGCCTTGGGGAGCCATAAGACTACCGGCTAGCCAGTCACTCCAGTAACATTCATACCACTCTGCTTTAAGTCAGGACTTGTGACTACTCCAGAAGCTGGAAACAGCAACAGATACTGGGCCTAGATTACGCTCTTCCTCTGAACCCCAGCTGTTAATTCCCACTGGCTCTGCTGTGCACATATACATAGAGTATACACGTGTGGATATGCATGTATGAACACATATATGGGCACATGCATATATATTTGAGTGGACATGCATATCTGTATGTGTGGGTGCATGTTTATGTGTATCTATATCTGTATATGTGTGCATATCTCTGCACAAATATCACAGGAAGGGGAGAGAGAGAATGTGTATTAACTTGCAGACATTAACGGGAGGGGCACAATGCTTCTGCTCTTTCTATGAAAAAATTCAGCTGTTATTTTCTGCAGTTGAAGGCAGAGGAACATCTTAAGCTGGGTTTTGGGTGAGATGGGGATGGAGGAGGGTATCCATGATGCTACATTCCATAATGTATTATAAGGTAATTCTGCATTTAAGCAAATGCTAACCAGATACTTTTTTTAAAAGATAACTTAAAAAAAAAGGATACGATGTCTGAAGTTTTAGGAGTTGAGAAAACAGGGCCTCAAAGTTACTGTATATTTCTATGGCATTAGCCGAGGAGGTAGCCAGGCCCAAAGCTTGGGACTGCACTGGTCCAATAAATGGCCAATGAAGCTGAGTCAACGTCTCTTCAAAATCACTGCAAGGAAACGAACACATAATATCACCATGATTCGGCAATCCAACACAAACTGAAGACAACCGCTTTACATTTCCTACCTTGACAATTTGTCTTTCAGGATCTTGTGCCAGAATTGAACAGTAGATCTTACAAAAGTTAAAAGATGCGAGCAGGATGACTCTTGAAGCCTGATATCTAATTCAGCCATGGATGCCAGGGCAGTAGCAGCCTCTGGCACATTGTTAGTCATTAGATACTGCTGGATGTTGTCACTAACAAAACAAAGAGAAGAACATTGGACAAATGAACAGAGATGATGCAGTGTATAATATTGCTCAAAGCTAAAATAATCAAATGAAATCGAAATAGAATACCTGTGCAAAAAATTAAATTGACCAACTAATGTTTTCACCTGGAAGTCAAACAAATTATCACAAAACTACCTTTAGAATCGTGTTAGGATCCCTAACACCAGAGCCAAAGAAGAGTTAACACTACAAACTATGTGTGTAAATCAAAGAAATTCAAGTATGTATTCGCATATTCATATAAAAGGTATAACTTATTTTCATAGTTCTGTCCCCCCCCACTCCATATATTATTACTTTTGAGCTGGAAGCTTACCAATATTTAAAAACACACAAGATGAGTTTATTTAAAATAAATGTTTGCAAACTGATAAATCACCAGTTAGTATAATATAAATCCTAGAAAATCGAGAGAGAGAGCGAGCGTGCGCGCAAGCAAGTTATAAACAAGTTTGGAATGAACACAGATGCAAAAGAATTTATTTAGCTTCTTTGCAATAACCTTACCTTCTTTTACTATTATTTTAATTCCTATCTTTGTACAGCTTGTGGACAGCTGTTTCAGAATCTTTAATTGCTGTTCTTAATATTAACAACAATTAAACTAGTATTTTAGAAGAAATGAGCAATATACTCAAAATTCTTTTTTTCCTATTGTCTGATTACCTATTTTCTGAAGAATTCTGTTCCTTTTGATAAAACTTCTATTTTCTGAAGGATTTACTAACTTCATTGACACTGTTAACTAATACAATTGTAAATTTATTGAACACTTCTGTATGCTTGTTTACCCGCAGTATACATTCTGTTTTTTCTAATAATACGTACAGGGGAACTTCAAGCACACTCGTGAGGCCACCATCTTGACCTTTTTGACCATATGCTGAAGATATCCATGAACGTGTAAAACCCCAAACTTGAAATGTACATTTCAAGTCTAATTCATATATTTATGCTAGCTTTATTTTGAAGCATAATCCTGATTCCTCTGTTGGGAAATGACATGTGCAGATAGGACCCAGGGGACAGAGTTTCCATCTGGAGTTATGAACATAGTCCCTTTAAAAAATCTACAAAACAGCTGTGGGGAAGATAAAAGAAGCTGGATTTTTTAAAAAAGGATTTAATGCATGCCTCTTTATGTAAGTATTCCATGACTTTACAGAAGTTATATAAAACAACTAGAGACATTCTTTACCTTAATTCTTCTATTTGTGAAATCTGTTTTAAATAAGCAAGATGCCTTTCAACTTCCTTTATTTGACTTATCAAAGCACCAAATTCCTCCATCCATGGGCTGGACGTCAACAAGTGGTTATTAACTGAATCGTACAAAATTCTCTCATTCTCTAGAAGTTGATAGAGAGATTTCTTAGAATCCTCTGCATTCTGCAAGGCCTTCTGAATTCTTTTGGGAACTTCTGATGAAACTGTTAGTACCTGTATAAATATGAGAGCAGCAGACTGTTATACTTCTTGAACCACGTCCATTAAGCAATCCAAAACATTAAAATTGCAACATAATACTACTCTCAGAAAAAAAATCATAGATCTGTATAGAGATCTGAGGCATAAAGCACAACAAACCTGTTCAAAATGGTCTGAATAAAAAAAACAAATGGGAAGGGATAGTTTAATATATGAACTGACAACCAACTCCAGTGTTATCCATCACATACAATGAGATGGATACAATATTGTTCCAAGCGCCAATTGTGTCATACATACAGTCCAATGTGTGTTGCTTTAAAAGGAGTCTTCCCAATTATAAATGGTTAAAATCGAACACATGCATGGATTCTCTGCATATGTGAAATGTTATTTCCAATACGTGAACCGATGCCAAGCCTCAAAGAATGCTGTTCAGCACCACTTCTAGAGTCAAGAGAGCTGGAAGCCTAGAGAGTGGGCTGTTTTTCCTTAAAGTATTTAAACATGCCTTCCCCAAATAAATGGAACTCACCTGTTCTTCTAATTTCATTTTGTTTTTTGATAACTGTTCAATCAGTCCAACAAGCTTGTTTAATGAGTCATAATCATTTCCAACCTTCCTTTCTACAAATTCAGACACATAGAACGGGATGTCACAACTCTCTGGGTCTTTAGGAATTCTTCTGTTTCCATTATTAAGGTCTTCCACTTTAACGTTACCTGTGGTACTAATTTAACAAGTTTATTATTAAGTTCATAGGCCAAACAATTGTGAAATTTTTGGAAACACCAAATCCATTTGCAAAAGGACATTATTAAGGACTTAGTAAAAATATTAAATACCAACCGAGGAATGCAAACTCCATCAAATATGGCCATGCATGCTAGGAAACCTCTATATACTAAATGATTTTTTTTTAAAATGAGAAGTTATCATCCTCACAGCAAAAAATTCCAGAGTATCTCCTATATTGAAAACACACCCTGCTTAGAATCCTGCCCATTTCAATGGGAAAATCAGTGCAATGTCATAAAAATGGGCTCTGCTTCTAGTAATGAAAGAATGATGCACTAACCCTAAGTATCCAGCTGTAGGTTGTTTCTTGTTTATCATATTCTGGGACAGAATTAAACAGTTTTTACACAGGAGTGCATATGTGGCATTTTCCAAGCTATTGGTTTGTTGTGTTGCTAGAATTCCCCTTCCATCTGGATATAACCAATAACTATGCCAGAGCTCTTCTCTGCAGGTACTCACCAGAATATGTGAGCTTCTGCAGGATGTTCTACTCCTTCCCCTACCTCCTCCTCTCTCTTGGGTTCCTGCTGAGAAAGGAGCATATATGGGTCGGCCCAGCTTTCAAAGTAGGTTTTTTGTTCAACCAAAACCTCCCAATGTGTTTGATCACCTCCCAGAATTCTAAACAGAACAGCCATTAGCTGGGAATTAAGAAAGCTGAAATCCACCATGTCTGGAACAAACAGTTTGGAGAAAGATTGTCTTAAAAGTCTGCTCTTTTGCTGTCTTCTAAAGCCCATACATTATGTTACCTTAAGGAAGCAGACTGGAAGACATTTAATAGAAACAGATCAATTTCATCTCTTGACATTCTGCTTCTCTCTTTCACTTATCAAGTCAAAGAAAAGCAAACAGCTTTTAAACAATTATACAATAAAGTGGTATGCTTTACTATAAAAACAAGATTAAAATGATAAGAATATAGTTATTCAATAACATTATGAAGACTGAATTCAATGAAATTAATGGAAATCAGCAGTCCATAAATTGATCATCTTGTGCCACAACAAAAAACAGATGAAAATACTGGGTGTTTCCATAAAAAAGAGCCTTCACATTCTCTGATATCATACAAAACAGACAGCAATTTTGTATCTGTCCAATGCTTAAAAGATCTAACAGCTGTAAATATGTGAATCTTCTTTTTCTTAGCATAGTAGATCCAACCTGTACTATTTTTTTTTTCCAGAAATCTCTGAACTATTTATCTAATAACTCCCTAAACACCTTTCATTCAGGGTAACGAAGGAATGGTAGCCTTAAATAAGATGCCGAACACAGATATGGCAATACGTATGAAATTCCTCCCTCAAAAGTATTAGCAATATATATGGAATTATCTCAAAGTGGAGATTTACAGTTACTTTCTGACAGCTAGAAAATAATACGGAGAAAAGCTAGAAGGAAAAAAGATCACTTGCCTCAGTAGATATCAAAGATGCAGCACTTTCAGTCCCTGATTGTGCCATTTCCAATTCAGCAAACAATGAAAAGAGGATGTTCTGTAGCAAACAATTTTATGTTTATTTTATGTTTTGGATGAATTACTAAACTGTCAAATATCAAATGCCATATACAACCATTTTGGATATAATTAGAACACTGATACAAGATTTAGAGAAAGCTTCTATTTAGATTTGAACATCACTTATAGCAAGATGCATGGAAGCAAATGTCTGTGTTTATATCTCTGCTTATTTTTATTCAGTCTGTTAGGATTTTATTGCTAGCTTCAGTTGGTAAAGATGAGCAGGGAATGGATAGGATTAACTGAAGCAAAGGTATATAACCATCAGAACACATAATGGCACCTTGGAACTACTGTCTGGCTCTTCTCAGTGTCTTCCCAATGTTTTAATTTGTATTGTTTGTCTTGTCCAAAACAGCCATGGAGAACAACTATTAGCCACACAGCAACTGAAGTCTCTAATCCATATGTTCTTGGTTCTTTTATCCTCTTATGCATTCTCTTTTTTTCCTGGGCTTTCAAACTGTACATAATTCTTCCACATGTCTAAAGAGTCATGTTCCTTAAGGGTAAGTCTTTGCTTTAATCTAGAAATAATCATAATTATCCATAAATATTAAGACATCAAGTTCTCTTTCTTTCAATGTGAAACTCTTCTATTTAGGCAAAAATGTGCATAATAGCACACATTACAACATATAAAAATAACCATGTTGGATTTTTTGCTGCAATAATATACACTCCAGGCACAGTTCAACTGCATGAATTACAAGCGAAAGCACAATCTGTGATAAGTTAAAAAGACTGGATAATGGCATTTCATCAGCAGTTTCATGTACCAAGGGGGTAGAGAGAACACTGAATTTCAAGAATGGGAAATGCTGCAATTATTTATTAATGTGCTTATAGTAGCAATATTAAAATCCGCACCATTCTCTCTACCACATTTAGAATATTATGCGGGCAATTTATTAAGCTACAAATGTACGAACTTGGCTTCTGGGACCAGCTGAGGTTTCTAGAGCAGCACTATTCGACCTGGCTTTTTCAAACAGATTACCTAACCGAGACACAGATCAAACTGGCAGTAACTTCCACGATCTCTGGAATAATAAACATGAGCGCCATTTAAATTAAAAACAGGCTGCTTTGAAAACATTAGCTCCATCGGTCTGACCTGCTGAACCACAGCTTATTCCATGAGCCTGATTCTGGGATAGGTTTGGCAGGCTGACTCCTCAACTAACCACCCGGGCCGGGTTCTCACAACACAAGAGCGGGAATAAGAGACAGGCCTTGCCACCTCATTAGGGCGCCCTTAGGAGCAGAGGGCTGGGCGCCCTTGGACACAGAAAGCGGGGTGGAGGGATCCAGACGCCCAAAGAAGGCAGCAAGGAAGACCGAGGAACTCGCCCAGCAACCTCCTCCCAGGGAAAAACCACGCGGAGGGAGGCGTCGTGGGAATGCCCACCCGAGCAACGGAGCCCGAAAGCGACCACCCACCTCATCCTCCGCACGCCGGCTCGAGCCACGCCCCTTCCCCCTCCTCCTCTGCATGACGCGTCTGCGGCCAAGCGGCAACGTCGCCCAGAGGGGACGGGGCGGGAGCGCCTCTGACGTCACGGGGCGACCCGGCGCAGAGTTTAGACGAAAGCCTTCGCTTCGGGGGGCCGACGCGCACGAGTGTCTCTCACAGGACGCCCAGCTTCCGGTTTGTGGCCGGATGTCCTTCTTCGGGAGGTGTTCGACGGAGAGTCGGGAGTCGAGGAAGGAAGCCCAGGTTTTGGGAGCCGTGTGAATAAAGGCAATGGGTTTAAAGCAGTGCTCTTCAAACTTGGCAACTTTCGGATGTGTCGACTTCAACTCCCAGAATTCCTGGCTGGGGAATTCTGGGAGTTGAAGTCCACACATCCGAAAGTTGCCAAGTTTGAAAAGCACTGCTTTAAACCATGCTAAATCTAGGGAAGAAAGCGTGCCTTTAAAGCACAAGGGCAAGGCAGTTTGCGCAGCACGTCCTGGCCACTAAGATGTTCTCCCTTGCTGGTATGACACCATCCTGAGCTCGTGCCCAGCTGATCTCTTCCGACAATCTTTACCCTTCCAGGGCTGGTGTTTTTTTCTTGATTAAGCTGCCACAGAATCATGGTGGGTGAACTTTGCCAGGCTCTCCTCTTTCAGGGTAAAGTGTGTTCATGTGCCCAGACTAACTTGAAGAATATTTCTTTCCCTCCTTCCCCAGGGGAATTCCAATTAAATCTCAGGAAAAAATGTACTTTTCCCAGGAACTGTGAATAGATGCTATGTATGTGCCTGCAAAGCACCTTTTTGTCTTTAAACCTAAGCACTCACATCACTAAGAATAGATCCCCCAATCTCTGTGCCACTATGAGAGTGGGGACGTCATTAAATAACACGGCACGCACCTCACCCATCCACATCTCAACGCAACTACCCATCCTATCTCAGCAAGCAGTAATTTGATTCTCCAGCCCTGCTGAGATCATTTTGCGTCCTCCCCATGGCAATTTAAATGAAACGCTGCATTCCAGCTCCCACAATGAAATCGCACTTCTGGCTGATCTACTTTTTGGGGGTTGTATTTCAGTGAGATGTTTTGACAGGCCGGGAAGTAGGACGGCAATGAATTTTTTAGGACTTTGGACTTCTTTAAATCAGTGTTGGCTGGGGAATTCTGGGTGTTGAAGTCCACATATCTTAAAAGTTCCCAAGGTTGAGAAACCCTGCTTTAGATAGACATCCTTTTTATTACAACCGTGGGCATCCCCTGGAGGAAGTGGTTATCAGCAGTGGTTATCAGCAGTGCATAGGGGCTGAATTGTGGCACACAAAGGTGCAGGCATCCCAAGATTTGCCCATGTGTAGGTTAGACAGTAGGTTTGGCAAAGGGAAATCTATCTGGTTCACGTTTTAAAAGAAATCCTTACATTTTGCTATCTGTAGTCAGATATTCGATGAAAATGAGTTTGTCAAGCATTTTGCCTAAATCCAGCCTTCCACAAAAAACATATGTATCTGTGATCCAAAAAGGGTAAAGCCGAGCAATATCTTTCCATTAAAAAATTAATAAATACAAAAAGAAAGTAAGTTTTCTGGCAGGTTTTAGAAATAAAATGCAGACACACTAAATATCAAATTCAGAATGGGTATTGAATCCTGTTAGGTCAAGATGCAGATTTTCCTAGTTCATCTGTTGCCAGCAACAGACAAACCATACATGTTTGTTGACATACTACTTCTGTGATTAGGTATTTGCTTTTTTACAAATTTAAAATTTGTTATGAAAAACGAACACAAATGTTTAATAATATTACAGCTCAAATAAAAGCAGTTGGAAAAGACATGAACATTTTGCCAACAATAGTTATGAAAGCAGGGTCTATCAGCATTCTTAAGGCTAAATATATCTGTTCATTGGATATAAATATGTATTCATCGGTATCGTATTCCATTTAATTTTCCTGAACTGCAGAATTAAACATATTTGCAATCATTTTTAATCTGTACTGAACTCATGAAGACCTATGTACTTCCATAAGAGAATAAAACATTTTTGAGCATTAAATACTGCTAACAAAGCCAATCGTTTTTTAAAATTCTGCCATAGGGAGCACTGTGTTTGTTCAAACTTTTTAAAAAACAAAATTAGGTTTTACAATGAATCTGAAATAACATCCTTTAAACTAATACAAAAATACATTTCAGTTAGAAATTATGTGGATAAAATGAGTAAATAAGAAATAAATTGCATGTTAAAACCTTATCCAGTCCCTGTAAAGGATTAGCGAAGCCAGGTGGTATTTAACTGTGACTGACTTTTTATGCTGGTATCCAGTTTTAGAACTTCTCGAATGGCCATTGTGGCATAAGCAGATGGTGGCAGGGAGAACTCCATCTTCAGAGCCTTATATTTACCTTCTGCCATAAGCAAATCAAACATCAAAATTAGTACAGTTCTAAAAATCATCCTGTCCCCAAACAGAATTCCATGTTGGGCTGATTTAAATATTTACCTCTTGCAAGAGCCGCAGGTAGTTTTCCTTCCAGTTTATCCAAGTCAGTAGTAAATAATGGAATTTTAGGATCATCATATTCAATGAGTTCCCTTTTATAAAAATACAAAGTGAGATTTAAAAACGAGCAATGGGAAAAGCTTGCATTTAAGTTAGAACTTGAATGCTCTACAAGATTTCACCATTCCATCATACAGTAGCAGAACAGTTATTAAGATGATTCCACAAATCTGATATCTGAGAAGTTTACACTCCAAAACATACTGTATAGCAAGTAAGCAGGAAGAGTTAACAGGAGTTGACTTTGGGAGTTCAGTGGGAAAATTTAGAGACGAACCCCCAACAAATGTTCTCTCTAACTCAAGTGCCTACAGTAAGAAATAAAACCCTTAGAGCACTAGTGATGCCCCGAGAAGTGAAGGTGAAAGAACAGGAGCATGCACATCTGTGACCTGCAATGCTTGTGGCATGTCGTCTTCCTGCTTGACAACAATCTGACATATTAAAGCACAAGCAGGCTTGTAGAAGTCCTTGAAGAAAACGTCAGACGGGCGAAGTCGGGCGCACTTCTGCTGATCAAAAAGAATGAGGGTCTGTCCATTCAAAGAAAGAAGGTTCTACCACAGAAAGGAACAGTGGAAATAACCTTCCAAAGCAAGTGGGACAAGCAGGGGAACAGACACGGGATAAGAATAACATCCAGAAGCAAGAAAGACTGTTATTGTCTACCACTGGAATTTGGAAATGTTTTTCAGGTTTTTGCAATTGAAATAGGTTCTGAGCATCTGGGGAAGGAAAAAGAGACACTACCGTATGGATGACAGGACAATGGATCTTTAAAGGACAGAAAGCGTGCAACTATTCCTTATAACAGAAGGCAGTCCTAGAAGTCAGTGACTTACGATAAGGAATTGAAAGAAATGTGTCCTGACCAAACCCGTCAGCTCATGAATCAAGGACATGACAGACCAACTTCCAAGGTTTATTCACTGACAATTATTCCTTCCCATTGATTCAAGTGAGGACAAACGATACTGCAAAGTAGAGCTACCAGCTGTATCATCACAGGCTCCGAAAATCTCAAAAAGAAGTTCAAAATCCTGGGGCTTCCAGGAGGAAGACTGTAAAAGGAAATGCTGCAAATCAATTAGTGGCTACACATATGGTATTGATGGGAGATATTTGGGACTCAGAGCCATGGTTTATTTAGGACAGTGTTTTTCAAACTTGGCAACTTTAAGATGTGTGGACGTCAATTCCCAGAATTCTTCAAAGCTGACTGGGGAATTCTGGGAGTTGAAATCCACACATCTAAAGTTGCCAAGTTTGAAAGACCCTGATCTAGAATATGGTCTGACTGTTTCAGATGGATTCGCCCCAAACCTATGAGTTTGGCCAAAGAACAGCACGCTTAATTAGGAAAACTTTAAAATGTATCTTGTGGGAAGCAAAAATTAAGGAAGAATCTCCAGTATAGATGAGTACACTGAAGAAGGAAGGAGTGCTGACGAAATGGAGCCTTCTAAACCACTAAAAAGAAAATCAGAAAGGAGCTTGGCTGATAAAATTCATCGCGTTCATTCTCTAACTTGTAATACTCATAGCAAGAGCTTTTAGCAGAGAAGGTTAAATATTATGTAGTTGGTATAATTGAGACCTGGTGGGAAAACATTCATGGTAAGTCTAATGAAGGGAAAAAGTCTGAGGAGTGAGAGGAGACGGGTGCCTCTGTGGAAGTGGCCTCTGTAAGGAAGGCCAGAGAGGGAAGCCCCGTGCCTGTCTGAGGGAACAGATCCCAAGACACCAATATTTATTGATCAGTCCGGCCAGGTGGCAGGTCCCAGACAACCTTACCACGTGGACGTCCATGAAGTCTTAGGAGCCAAGACTGAATCAAATGAGACTTCACCGTTTTTGTTTACTTACCAGCTCACATTCTGAGGTCGGATAATAATCTTTCTGTATGCTCCCGATAATGAATAGTCTCGAATTTTGTGCTTCATGTTATTGATATCCAGGTTGTCTGCAGCAAGCATTTCCTTGTAGCTTTCCCCAACTGTCAAAAAAGGAACAGAGGCTGAACTATAACATGGACCTTAGTGTAACCAATTCTAAAAAAATTATCTCCACCCTCACACTGAAACATCTCCCCTCCAACACAGAAATACTATCTTTTTATACTGCAATTGAGGTTTTGTTTTTTTTTTTGGCTAGATTATAACTACCATAATGCCTAGTTAGCATGGCATTGATATTTGAGACACTGAATTTAATGCATCATGCTTTGCCCTTCTGGCAGACTCCATCTTAATAATATCAAGATTAAATGAAAAATCCAGTGAATTAATCAAGCTTTAGTATCAAGTAGCTGTAAGATTTCAGACTCAGTCTAAGTTTTTCCATGAATGAGAAAGTTAATATAAATATACATGCTAGTGAAAGTTATGACTGCCATACTTGAATTGTCAATCAGTCTCATCCTCTATTTTCTCCCTCTGGGTTGTTATTCAATTAGGGTATATTTTTAAACAAAACTC